CACATGTATGGTAAGTGTGCTACCACTGAGTGACGGTCCTAGCCCTTCGTGTATTGAGATGCAGTCTGGCTTTGTAGCTTAGCCTATCCTTAAGCCTTTTATGTGTCCCATAACCCGTGGCACTCCTGCATCAGCCTCATAAGTACTAGGACTAGAATCAAGTGCCATTGTGCCTTGCTGGAACTCAGATCTTACAGGACCCAGGAACCATTCATTTTATTGGCATGGATCTGAGAAATACAGACAATGAATGGAGCCCTGAGATGCTCAGCTTGCTCTGTTTAGGTTGGACATACCCATCAGTGACCCTTAAATGTATCTGAGCCCCTCTTGCTTCTTTTGGATTTTATATAGTACCTGAGTTTGTACAGTGACTACTGTGGGCAGGAACTGTAGCCAGCCCCTTATAAGCACTATCTGGAGGAGTTTCCTGGGCAACATTTTAAGATCATTTCATTTTAAAGGTAGGGAAATTGAGAACAGGAAAGGTGAAAGCCCAGGTGAACAGTGGAGTCAGGATTGTGAATCCCTCTAGGTTATTTATGCTTACTTGACGGTTTGGCTCTGAGTTTGATTTCTCTGTGGGTTGGGAAGAAAGCCCTTGTTCTCAGAGGCCTGCACAGAACACCACAGACTCAGTGTGTGATATCTCAGGCGCCCAGAGTAGACTTAAGAGGTACCACCCTTGAGTATGGAATCTGTGTGTGATGAATGTTTTCTTTTCCCAAAACTGGAATAGAGTTTGGAACAGCAAATATTTAATCAGAGCAAATTCCTCTTGTTAAAAATCTTGCCTTGTTCATCTTGAAGGTTATTGCCTAAAAATACTCACCACTTATTGAAGGCTAACTGTGCTAAGTCACCCACAGAGCATAAAGGAGGCTTGGTTAGTCTTTGGAACAGGGGTTATTTGCCCACTTTCAGTTTGGACCACGTTTGCAATGCCACACCCTTTGATACTCTCCTGACGCCTTCCGACACAGTAGAACCTGCCTAGAGAAAACAGGGAGGGGTTTACTGGGTGTGCTGACAGAGAACTCTGTACTTGCCCGTGTTTGGAGGGAGAATAAAAGGAAGGAAAGGGGTAGGAGGTGGGAGGAGGGTAAAGGTAAAAGATGGGCTGGAGTATGCCAGTGTGCATGAATTATGGTGTGGATGGGAGTTCATGGGGTTGTGTGCTCAAAGTGAGAACAGACAAGCTTTATAATCCAGCACCTGGGAGGCCGAGGCAGGTGGATTACTGTTAGATCAACATCACCCTGCCCTTAAAAAAGAAAAACGAAGGAAGGAAGGGAAAGAGGAAACAGAGACAGACAGCAAGATGAATGAGCCACAAGGGCTGGAACATGGCGTTAGCCATTCAAAGAGACTGTTGCTCTTGCAGAGACTAGTGCTCTCGTCCTGACACCCACACAGCTGCTGGCAATCATGTAGTTCCACGGTTTCTGATGCCTCTTCCGTACTGTGTTGACACTGCACACATGTGGTATACAGCCATACGCGCAGGCAAAACACTCAATACACATAAAAATAAACACATCTTTTTTTCTTTGAGACAGGGTATCTCGTAGCCCTGGCTGCCCTTGACTCACTCTGTAGACCAGGCTGGCCTTGAACTCACAGAGATCCACCTGCCTCTGCCTCCCCCAAGTGCTGGGATTAAAGGCATCAACCACCACCTTCTGGCTAAATCCATAAACCTTTAAAAAAGAAGTTATATATAAGTGAAATGGTCTAAGTGAAGTTGTCAAGTTCTGCTTTATAAATCTAGTTTTTGCTGATGTAAAGCAACATTCCTGTCACCGGTACTATTCCTAGCGGTGACTTCTGTTTGGGGTTAGAGCTCTGAAGCAGTTCTTTTGTTTGTCATCCCCATTTACATTGGTGCGCTTCTGAAAGACACAACTTAAAGGAGGAATTAATCATTTTGGCTCATGGTTTCCGAAGATTTGTGGTCACTTAGCTGGACCAGTTATGGCACAGGAAGTAGAGAAAAGGAACATACAGGAAGAAGTCAGGGCACAATGAAGCCAGGAGAGGAGATAGAGAGATTGTTCAAAGCCAGAGCTGGTAGATGACTCCAAGGAAATGGGTTTTCCAGATAAAGGAGAGCAGAGTGTATATGAATTCCCCGACTGTGACAGAATGGGCAAGCTTAATTCAGACAAAACTCCTGCACGGTGAAGGGGAAGTTGGGACAAATTCCCATCTAGCCGCAATGTGCAGCTGATAGCTGCTGGGAGAGGGAAAGTCATTGGCTATATCAGTCAGACTCTAAGGCAGGCTCAATGCTCAGGAAGAGTTGGTCAACACAAATTGTACTCCATGGTTTTCTGTATTGAGAGAAAGCATAATTTGCAAGAGAGTGGGTAGAGAGGGGGCAAGAATCTGGAAAGAACTGGAGGAGTGGAAAGAATATGATCAAAATATATGAAATTATCAAAAATAAAACAAAAAAGATATATTCCAGAGATATGACCCCAGTTACCTCCTTTTTCCAGTTATGCTCCATTCTCTACTGTTTAGAACCTCCCAAAATGCCATTGTATTAAGAATACACCAAGGGATTTATTCATTCATTATATCAGAGTTCGAATGAACTCACTGGAACCCCACTCCCATACACATGCACAAGCGTGCCTCACTGCTCTCCTAGGCATTTTTCTTTTTTTATTAATTTATTTTTTATTAATGACAACTTATTCATTTTGTATCCCAGCTGTAGCCCCCTTCCTATCTCTTTTCCTCCCTTGCCCCTCCCCCAGTCCACTGATAGGGGAGGCCCTCCTCCCCTTCCCTAGCCTATCAGGTCTCATTAGAACTGGCTGCATTGTTTTCTTTTGTGGACTGGTAAGGCTGCTCCCCCTTAAGGGGAGGTGATCAGAGAGGCAGCCACTGTGTTCATTCAGAGACAGTCCTTGTTCCCATTACTAGGGAACCCACTTGGACACTGAGCTGCCATGGGCTACATCCATGCAGGGGTTCTAGGTTATCTCTATGAATGGTCCTTGTTTGGAGTATCAGTCTCAGAAAAGAACCCTGGGCACAGATTTTTTTGGTTCTTTTGCTCTCCTTGTGGAGCTCTTGCCCCCTCCAGGGTCTTCCTATCCCCTTCTTTCATAAGGTTCCCTGCACTCTGCCCAAAGTTTGGCTGTGAGTCTCAGCATCTGCGTCAATACCCTGCTGGGTAGAGTCTTTCAGAGGCCCTCTGTGGTAGGTTCCTGTCCTATTCCCTGTTTTATCCCTCTTCTGATGTCTGTCCCCTTGCCTTTCTGAATGAAGATTGATCATCTTATCCAAGGTCCTACTTTTGCATAGCTTCTTTCGGTGTACAGATTTTTGTGTGTTTATCCTATATTCTATCCACTTATAAGTGTGTCTTTCTGCTTCTGGTATACCTCACTCAGGATGATCTTTTCCAGTTCCCACCATTTGCCTGCAAATTTCATGATTTCCTTGTTTTTAATTGCTAAGTAGTATTCCATTATGTAGATGTGCCACAATTTCTGTATCCATTCCTCAATTGAGGGACATCTGGGTTGTTTCCAGATTCTGGCTATTACGAATAAAACTGCTGTGAACATGGTTGAGCAAATATCCTTGTTGTATACTTGAGCATATTTTGGGTATATGTCTAGGAGTGATATAGCAGGCATTTTTCAATGTAATCAAGTTGAGAGTCAAGACTCGCTGTCATACTGTTGCTTCATCAGCTGAAGATTTGAACGTGGGTGGACACTCACATTACAATCCAGCTTTAAAAAAAATCAGAAAACATGCACATGGCTTCTCTCCCTTCTGAAACCACGCACATGGCTTCTCTCCCTTCTTCCGTATGTGTGCTTCCCATGCTTTTGTGTCCACTTTTCATTGCTGCTCCAAGAGGTAACTGGGCGTTCTCGTTGGGGTTCTCATTGGCGCTCTCACTGGGGTTGCTAAGAGTGATGCTCTTAAACTATATTTGTGAAGGCAATCAAGCTTGTGCTGTCTCTGCCTCTGTGCTCTGCCCTTTTCTGGCTAAACTTCCCTTCCACCCAGATAGCAGCATGTTCAAGAAATATTCTTCCTCTCTGGTGTCCTCCCTCTCTCTCCCTTCCCCTCCCTTCTCCTCTTCTCTTCTCTCTCTCTAGGCAGCACCTCTGGAGACACTGAGAGGCTGAAAGGGTAGACCATCTGAGTGCTGGGATTACAGGTGTATATCACTTTCACTGGTGTTTATGTGTTGCCTAGGATTGAGCCTGGGGCTTTATGCATGGTAGATAAGTATTTTACCATTTGAGCCTAATTCACAGCCCTAAATCTTTAAATAAAATAAAAACATTGTGTATGTGTATATATGTGTGTGTATACAGTACTTCATGAGTTTGTGTGTGTGTATATGTGTGTTGTATAAATGTGTATACACACAGTTCTATTTGTTATTGAATAAAAATTTCCTACCATCTAAATCTTGACTCTTTAGTAGAAAGGAGTGAAATTTGCAGTGATTCTGTAGGCAATTTCTCAGTTTTGATATTGTGTATTTCAAGAAGTACACACCTACATCCTACAGGGAAATGGAAATTCTGATACTGAAATATCTTTATTACTGGAGTAATAAAGATAGAGCGGTGCTTTTATGGGGACTGTGTCTTTAAAAAGGGGTTAAAAGAAACCTAAGAAACAGTCGTTTACCTTGAAATATTTTGTGTGTGGGTATTGCTGCCTGCATGTGTGTCCGTGCACCAAGTGTGCACCTCGTGCCTTGGAGTCACTGGAACTGCAATTACAGAGCCCCGCAGGCCAACACTGGCTGCTAGGAATTGAACCGTGGTCCTGTGAAAGAGCAGGAAGTGTTCTTCCCACCGAGCCATTGTTCCAGCTGAAAAACCTTGTTCAGTCTCGGTTTCGTTGTGCACATGGCTGTTTTGACCATGGATTTTGATGTAAGACTGAACAGACACTCACAGCTACTCTAGCTCAGCTCTGACAGGCAGCTTTTGTATCTTTTTCTCCCGCAGATTCCCTTTTTTGAAGATTTCTGTAAAGGCATTAAAGCTGGTGACACCTGTGAGAACCTGATGGGCTATTCTGCAGTGTACAGAGTCTGCTTTGGAATGGCCTGTTTCTTCTTTGTGTTTTGCCTGCTCACTTTCAAAGTCAACAACAGCAAAGACTGCCGCGCCTACATTCATAACGGGTAGGTCTTCTGTCCTCCCAAGGGAGTTAAGACCGACTTACCAGCACTAGCTGACATTTGGCTAGTTAAAATGTTGACAGTGATTTGGGGAAGATGGGCTGCATCTTAGAAATACCACAGCCTAAGAGTGACTCTGCTGTTTATAATACCTGGTGCCATGATAAGAAATTGTTTCTACTAAAGCCTTCTCTCAGGTCATTTCCACCCTGCCCTGAAGTAGAGTTCTGTACTCAGACGCTATGCCAAGTGTGCCTAATTGTAGGAAAAAGCATTCTGCAGTCTCTCATCAAGTCCCCTTGATTTGGAGAGAACACTACGAGTGACAGAAACACGGGCTGGCATGCTACCTTTCAAGAGATCTTTTGTCCATCTTTGAATATCATTTAAATATATTTCTTTTTTCTTTTCTCTTCCAGCTTTTGGTTCTTTAAACTTTTGCTGCTGGCAGCCATGTGCTCAGGAGCATTCTTCATTCCGGACCAGGAGAGTTTTCTGAATGGTACAGTTGGGGTCCTCTAGGCTACCCAGTTATTTTGTCATACGCATGGTCCAGTGTCTTCGATATTTTGCACTACTGATTCTTTTATGCATTAAAGAATATGTAGGTGTTGGGGCTTTAGCTCAGTGGTACTGTGCTTGCCTAGCAAGTGTGATGCACTGGGTTTGGCTCCAACAGTTTCTAAGAGCTTTGTAAAGGCAGTTTTACCTACCTACCCTCCTCTTCTTCCTCCTACTGTACTTACAGGAAGCCCATGAGAAGTTCTGTTCTTCTGTTGGCTAAGCAACTGGGACAATAAACTCTCTGGCTTGGAGAGTAAAGGAGGCCTTGAGTATTTGCTTGAAAACAGATCTGGCACATCAGAATGTCTCTGCCTTGTTCTGTCTGAGTACCATACAGACCTGGCAGCATGAAACAATTGTTGGTTGTGAAAGTTAGAAAGGGAGGCATTCTCTAGCCTGTTTCTAAACTCACTGTGATTTATATAACATAACTCATAATCCTTATGGAGCCACTAAAACAGGACAGGATGCCATATTCTGAGCTCAGGTAAAAAATTAGGATGGAATCTAAATTGAAGTAGATAAAAATCACTCCGTTCAACCCAAATCGATCTGCTTTTTTAGTGGAGATGGCAGTTTATAGTACCAGCTATACTTTACTAGATACCTTCCATATGAAGGGCCAGCTACATCTTTAGGGCTCTATCAGTTTTTCATATGCTTTAAAACACGGCATATCTAAGTCTTCCTTTTATCTGTAACACTGTTAACTAGTTTTTATTCTCCACAAAGATACTTTCATATATATCTTAGCATATTAGAGATACTGTCTGGAGAGAGAGGTGACCTAAGAGTTTTCAGATCAGCTCTAATCCTTTTTATAGACAGCCTACAACCCACATTCTCTTAGGGTTTCATTGCTGTTAAGATGCTTCATGACCATGGCAACTCCTATAAAGGATAACATTTAACAGGCTGGCTTACAGAGGTTTAGTCCATTATCATCATGGCAGGAAGCATGGCAGCATACAGGCTAACATGGTTCTGGAGACAGAGCTGAGAGTTCTACGTCTTGATCTGAAGGCAACAGAAGGAGACTGTGTGCCACACTGGGCAGAGCTTGAGCATAGGAGACCTCAAAACCCACCTCCATGGTGACACACTTCCTCTAACATGGCCACACCTCCTAATAGTGCCACTCCCAATGGGCCAAGCTTTCACACATGAGCCTGTGGGGGCCATTCCTATTCAGACTTCCACATTCATCATTTTGTGGCAGAGCCAAAAGTCGGCCTGAGCCCTTAATCACTTCATTTCCATACTGGGTAGTCAGGACTCGTTGCCTGTTAAGATTTAAACTTTTGATTTTTCTAGCAATATTTCTTTTTTGCTTTTGAATCAGGGGCCACTGTGAACTCCTGCATCTATTGAGTTCAGCATGAGATTCAGCTTGGATGCCCCAGGGTCAGACTCTGATATCCAAGTTGCAGTTGTACCCTTTATGGTGTGAAAGTCTTTGCCAACTGTCTCAGTACTACCATTTCTGTTGCTGTGATAAACTTTGAGGACAAAAGCAACTTAAGGGACAAAGGGCTCATTCTAGAGCCTACCTCATGGTAGGGAAGTCAAGGCGGCAGGAGTTTGAAGCAGCATTTCCTAGGTCACATGCCTAGGAAAGAGAGCAATGAATGTCTGCTTGCTACTCAGACCACTCTTTAGTTTTACAATCTAGACTCCTCTGCTCAAGGAATGGTCCTGACAATTAAGACAGATCGTCTAACCTCAGTCAACAAAATCAAAATAATTCCCTTCAAGCCTGCCTAGAGGCCCATTTCTCTAGAGTGTAGATTCTGTCAAAGAGACACTAAGCATCGAACCAACTCACTTCCAGGCTTATCTGTGTTTAACAAGTGTGTATGAGATTAGTGTCTACCTTGTGTGGGTGTGTGGGACTTACATGTGTTAGAAGCATAATGAACGCGAATAAAAAGTGTTATTTTCTGTTAACACATGCAGTGCTCACCTCAGGTCCCTTTGGGTGGTGTTTTGCAGCCTGGCGCTACGTGGGAACTGTAGGGAGCTTCATCTTCATTGCTATCCAGCTCCTCCTGATTGTGGAGTTTGCACATAAATGGAACAAGAACTGGTATGTGATTTTTGTGGAAAGCTCTCACTCACTGAGTCAAAGGGATGCTACCACTCACTGAGAGAGGCTCTGCCCTGGATTCCACCTCAGTGAGCCTTTGCATTTTCTCCTTTCTGATACTGTTTTCTGTCCTCTGTACCCTCCATCTTGCTTGTGCCTTTTGTGCCTGCCTGTGTGGACTATGTGTGGCTGTAATTTGGATATGCATTGTCTAGCTTCGCTTTTACAAGGTTAAAAAGCAAAGCAAGTACAAAAGCCATGAATGCTTTAGAGCAGGAGCTCTTCTGTGAAGAATCTGAGATGAAATAGTTCTCTTCTTAAACAAATAAACAAAAACCAACACCAACTCCATTTTTCAAGACACATAGGATCCCTTCCTTGGAAGAACTTGCTGTCCTGCCATGGGAAACTGTCTTGCCTATAAAATGATGGATTCTTAGTGCCTTGAAAACAGAACCCATATCACAGGCCAATGGGAAATGCCTTCATAGTCAGTTCTTTCTTGTTGAGATACTCTGAGGAAGTGTCACTCAGGCAAGCATCCAGTCCTGCTGAGGCCAGATAGACCCTGCAGTTGTGAAGAAAGCTCTTCATTGCTCTGTTGTGTTTGTTTGGTGAGGCTGCTGGTCTGTCTGGGTCTCTTGGATACTAGGCAAGTGTTGACCAGTGAACTAACTTTCTTTACTTTTAAAGTAATTCTCCTTTATATTGCTATTGCTTTATCTCTGTCCCTCTGTCTCTGCAGCTTGGGCTGGGTGTAAATTTATGATCCTCCTTCCTCTACCTCCTGAGTACTAGGATTCTAGGCATATATGAAACATGGCTGCTATTTTATAGATTTTTCTAGGCATCATTTTATTGTATACTTTATTTTGGGGGAAAAAAATCAAACCCACAACAATGCCATATGAGTTTACATTTTATTTTTCTGTTGAATAAGACAAAACACATTGTCCAAACATTCTCAATACTTTCTATTTTGAATATATTCTTCAGCTTGAACATGTTCTGTTTTTGTTATGCTAATGAGATGGTAATGAGATGGCATGGCAGTTGTAGGGACACATCAGTGGCAACACGGTGTAATGATAGCTGTTTTATTACTTATTAAGTATAGCCAAGTAGGACCAGATTTTAAAGGTTGGGGCTGGAGAGATGGCTCAGGGATTAACAGTACTTGGTCCTCTTCTGGAGGACCCAAGTTTGGTTCCTGGAACCCTTACCAGACAGCTTACACTTTCAGATTGGACTTTCTTCTTCTAGAGGCACACACACAAATAAGTCTTTAAAAGATATTTACACCACTTTTGGTGTTTTACCTCAGCAATTACAGATTTTCAGGGTTGACTTGTGTCCTTCTGCGAGCTGTTGTTTGCTATCTACATTTTTAGTCACCTTTAAAATTTAGTGATTTGTGCTGGTCATGTCTTGAGTTTTCTTAAAGATCAGCTACAGGCGGCTGTACTTTTCTTTGGCCCTACGTTCTTATCTGTAGAAGAGTAACCATGAGGTAGAATATATTGGAGCTGATGAGTATCTCTTTTCACCAGCAACTCTCAGTGCTGTGTACCATCAGTGATGATTATATTAGACAAAATCAAGGCTTCCTCTAAAAGATCTGCAATTTATATTCACATTGTATGTTTTATGGTAAGATATGAGTGTCGTGGATACAGAATCCTGGTTTATGCATTACACAGCATGTTCTTCCGGGCATGTTTCTGCTTCCTCCATCCTTGAGTGCTTTAACTGATTCTTGAGCCATTTTTTTTCTAGGACTGATTATTAATGTTTAGTGGCCCTTTGGAAGAGTTTGGCCACTTTGAGGACTCTGGAGAAAGCACTCAATCAGAACGGCTTAGGAGCTTTGCAGCCAGCTTGAGAGATGGCGGTGCAGTGGTGCAGAGTGCTCAGGGCTTTTCCAGGGACTCCCAGTACCCTTGCAGGGCGGCTTGCAACTGCTGGTCCCCCCTGCACCTCCAGCTTCAGGGGATCCTGCACCCTCCCGAACTCCTTCCTTCCTTCCTTCCCTCCTTCCCTCCCTCCCTCTCTCCCTTCCTTCCTTCCTTCCTTCCTTCCTTCCTTCCTTCCTTCCTTCCTTCCTTCCCTCCTTCCCTCCCTCCCTTCCTTTCTTCCTTCCTTTTCTGTGCTTTAAGTAAAGTTGATACAGGCCTGGCCTAGAAAGAAGATGGGACTTCATTCTTTCTCTTCTTTTCTTTATAAATATATCAAAAAAGAAGATCCCAAAAGCTACAAGGTAAACATGCCATGGACCTGCAAACCAGCTGCACACAGACCTTTGACCCTCCCTATTCTGGAATGTCACTCAGAGCAATGTTTCCTGACCTCTCTGACCCCAGATGTTCCAGATCTTGTACTGTAAAATGGTCCGGTTGGTTGAATTGGATGTTTAATAGTTATGTTTTTGTTTTAGTTTTCACTTTCTAAGTCTCATTCACAATTTGACATGTAAGTTCTATCATACAGTTGAAGTAATGGAAGGTACAGGTGCTGGCCAGATGGCTGAGTTGGAAAAGACACTTGCCACCAAGCCTGATGCCCACCCCATGGATCTCCAGGCCCCACGTGGTGAAAGGAGAAAACATCCATAAGTGACCCACGCCTGCCTACCGCCTCACGCGCCACAATGAGTAGCTGTGATGAAGTAACAGAGGTGGCTAGTATAGTCAGGTGTTGCTCTTGAGAACTTAGGTTGAAAGCATTCCTGGTTTTAAATTCGCCTTATTAGGTTTAGTTTGGCCCTGCCTCTCACTGGGCCTCAGCCAGCCAGCCTTTGCAGCCTGGGCCCTCTTCCCGTTTGTCCTTAGACCCTGCCAGTCAGCCTGCCAGTCACCTGGAACTCTGTTCCCTGTCCTGGGGCTTCTCATTCAGCATGTGCTCAACCTTTTCACAATATTGTGTGCCAGACAACACTTTGATGGGCACAGTGAATGGAAAATGAGTAGCCACACGCTGATTGGGACATCCTCCAGCAAGAGCATAGGTGAAGCTGGAGCAGCACGGTGGCCGCCGCTTTGCTAACCTTGCTGGGAACAGGCCCTCGCCTGCTTTGTAAAGCTGATAGTGTCATAGTGGGAAGTAGTTATTCAACACAGAATTGTGCACATATATGAAGGGCTCATTCATGCAAAACACGCTGTCAAGGGTGCAGGAGGGAGAGTAGGCTGTCCTGTGGGAGGCCCTGCTCAGACCTAAGCTTGCTGCACTTGTTTAAGGAACAGAGAGATATCTGTTTCTGGGGCTCAGTGGCGTAGGAAGAGTAGGAAAGATGATATCAGAGATGGTCCTGGGCCAGATCATGATGTCTTTGAAAGCTAGTGTAAATTCTTATTTTTTTTTTAAACCCAGGGTATTACACCTGCTGGGGTGGTGCTCTACCACTGTGCTGCATTTCTAGACTTAAAAGCTTTGGGGTTTTGTTTGTTTGTTTTATTACAATCTATTCACTTTGTATCCCAGCTGTAGCTCCCTCCCTCATCCCTTCCCAATCCTGCCCTTCCTCCCTCTTCTCCTCCCATGTCCCTCCCCCAGTCCACTGATAGGGGAGGTCCTCCTCCCCTTCCCTCTGACCCTAGCAGTGTATTAGGACTGGCTACATTGTCTTCCTCTGTGGCCTAGTATGGCTGCCCCAACCTCAGGGGGTGGTGATCAAAGAGCCATCCTCATGAAACTGAAAAGCAAAGGACACTGTCATCAAACAGCTTACAGACTGGTAAAAGATCTTCACCAACCCTACATCTGACAGAGGCTAATATCCAAAATATATAAAGAACTCAAGAAATTAAACAGCAACAAATCAAGTTATCCAATTAAAAATGGGGTACAGAGCTAAACAGAATTCTCAATAGAGGAATATCGAATGGCAGAGAAACACTTAAAGAAATCCTCAATGTCCTTAGTCATCAGGGAGATGCAAATCAAAATGACTCTGAGATTCCATCTTAGAATGGTTCAGATCAAAAACTCAAGTGACAGCACATGCTGGAGAGGATGTGGAGAATGGGGAACCCTCCTCCATTGCTGGTGGGAGTGTAAACTTGTACAACCACTTTAGAAATCAATCTGGCACTTTCTCAGAAAATTAGGAATAGTGCTACCTCAAGATCCAGCTATACCACTCCTAGGCATATATCTGTAATATGCTCAAGTATACAACAAAGCTTTGGTTTTTAAATAAAATGTTGGGAGAGTAGAAGTGTTTTGAAGAAAACAATGTAACTGAATTTTTCTTATTAAAAAAGAAAAAAAGATTAGTGAAGGCCCTAGGTGCATACCAAGCAGGCTGCTGTAGTTGAGCTCATAGTTGAGGGGTGGAGCTACGAGCCAGCTTGTGTAACTGGTCAGATTTTGGTATAATCTGAGCAGGGTTCAAAGCGGGACGGGTCTGGGGGAGGTCAGGATGTGGAAGTGGGGAGAGAGGGCCTGAGGGTCTCGTGTTTTCTCTTTTTCCCTCAAATAACAAGAGCATCTGAAGTTAAAGGAGAAGGGTGTGAGCCTGGAGTCATCTTGATGTGCCAGGCTGACTTCCCACGTGGAGGATGGTGAGGGAGATGAGTCTGGAGCTAAGGGGAAGAGAAGCTTTTCAGTCAGAAAAACCAAAAAACTACAATGCCAACTCAAAGACAGGGAGGAGCAGGCTGGCCCCTGTCACTACACCAGCCCAGTGTTCACATGTGGGTGTGTACTTCACTTTGTCTCCTTGTTGCTGGTTGTGCTCTGCCTCCAGAAGTTTTTTGTCCTCTCCTTTCCTTTGTGATGGGGTAATTCTGAGATCATCGGAGTGCCTGGCTTAGTGTCGGGAATACAATGCCCATTATCATCTTGGCTTCCGTTTCTCTTTTCTCCATCTCTGGGGAGAGAAACCTTTCATTGTGAAAGCATTTTGGCTGTGTTGCTTGAACATTTTGTAGCTCTCTGGAAATGTTATGCATGTTGCTTTCTCTGAAGGCTGATGGAGTGTGGTTGCAGCTGAGTCATGAGGCAGGTGACCCTCGATCAGCCAGTCCTCCTTTGCTCTGTCTTCCATGTTTGACATTTATAAACACCCTTCTCTCTGTTCTGAAAACTTTCTGAAGAATTATATAACCACTAATCTTACTTATTCCTTTATTAATATTTATAAAAACTACAAATCAGATTCCTCTCTTAGTTTCTTTATGGTACTTCCCTCCCCTCCCCTCCCCTCCCCTCCCTTCCTCTTCCTTCCCCTGCCCTTCCCTTCCTTTCCCTTCCCTTCCCATTTTTGTGTGTGCATGTATGTGCATATTAATGTTTATGGGGTGCACGCGTGTGCATGCATGTGGAAACCGGAGGGCAGCTTTAGTTGTCATTCTTCAAATGCTGCCCACCTTTTGGGCTGGAGCTCTGCAAGCAGGCTAGACTAGATGGCCATACCAGGAATCTGCTGTTTTCTCCTCCCCAGTGCTACTGTCACAAGCACATGCCTCCGCGCCCAGCTTTTAAAGGTTGGCCTGCCTGTAAGACAAGCACTTTTCTGATTGAGCTGTCTCCCTAGCGCCCAGTTCAGCTTGTCTTTCCGTAATCTTAAAGACCTGTTAAGCTATGTGTATGTGAGCATGTCTGTATGGGAGTACGTGGATGTGAGTGCAGGTACTCTGGAGGCATCGGATTCCCTGGGGTAATGGGCAGGTGTGAGCAGCCTGGTGTGGGAGCGGGGGTCCTCTACAAGAGCAGTGAGTGCTCTTAAGCACTGCGCGTATCTTCAACCCTACTTTCCCTGACTATTCAGTGTAACTCTTCTTTCCTAGCATTTCCTCATAGTAGTTTGGAGAGGTGGGTCCTGTCGTAGGCTCTCTTTTCTGTACAGAGAGAGAAGAACTGAGCTGCTCAGGCTCCTGTGTGCAGAGCTGTCTGCTTCGCCTCTAAGAGAAGGTGGCGTCAGAGGAGCTGCTGGTGGCACTTGGAGTGAGAGGCCATGGCAACTCCAGGCTCAGCACTCACAGAGAAAGCTCAAAGCCTACGCCACTGAAGTACCGTCTTTGCCTTATACCTCAGTGCTGCTGTTGTGTCCCCAGGGCATCTCCAGAGTGGAGGTGCGCTAGGATAAAGCTGGTGGATGTTCATTTTAGTTGATGAGCACACTCATATTTAGAGATAATTCTAAGCCAACAAGTCTGCATAACTGTAAGAACTCTCTCCTGAGGTAAAGTGTAACCACTGCTCAAAGTGTCTTCCGATCTGTGCTACCAGTGTCCCTGCTGGGGTTGATCCTGTCAGTCAGAACCTGAGGAGGGAAAGGTCCAAAGGAGAGAAGCCTTTGCTGACTTGTTTCCTCTCTCCCCACCTCGCTTGCTTCCTTCCCGGAGAAACAGGACTGCAGGCACTGCCAGTAATAAGCTGTGGTACGCCTCTCTGGTCCTGGCGACACTCCTCATGTACTCTGTTGCTGCCGGAGGCTTGATTCTGATGGGAGTGTTTTACACACGGTGGGATGGCTGCACCGACAACAAGATTCTCCTGGGAGCACATGGTGGCCTGTGCATGCTCATCTCACTGGCAGCCATCTTGCCCTGTGTCCAGAACCGTAAGCATAGCTTGTCTTCTTCAAAATGTGTTTTTCCTTTGTGACTTTGAGCAAAACCTAGTGGGTTGGTTTTTCTTTCTTTCTTCCATTTATTTATTTATTTATTTATTTATTTATTTATTTATTCATTTATTTATTTATTTATTTATCTATCTATCTATCTATCTATCTATTTATTTATTTATTTTTTGAAAGCCCACATCATTCTTTAACTTCCTGTGGAGGGGACTCAAGCCTCCTCTTCATATTCCATGTTCATTGAAGGTGAGGGTTTACTTTGTGTCCAGAAAGATCTCAACTTAAGCCAATAAGTAGAAAGATAGACAGTACTTTACAGGGAACCTTTAAATGGGAAATGTGCTTAGTCTCTGTTAAGCAAGAGATTTGTAAATGTGGCTTGATGTGTCCTGGTAAAATCTGAATCACAGGGCCCAGAAGGAGCTGCTCCTGGCACCGTCTTGGGCAAGTGTGTAGCAACCCAGAACAGCCCTGGCCCATGAGCCAGGAGAGAAGAAAATTTAGCCTGTTTCCTTCCAGTCTCATGAGCAGATTCTGCTTCAGTGAAGTCAGCGGAATTTGAGCCTGGTTCTGGCTAGTTCAGAGCCACAAAGGAGGAGACAGTGGGCCTTGAAAACACCTTAGTGAGTAGAGGTAGGAACTGTCATTAATAAGCTACCCCTGACCTCTCAAGAATTCTCATTAATAAACTACCTCTGACCTCTTAAGTGAGCATGCTGAAGCCATGCTGTCTTCAGAGTTATAAAAATGTCCCCAGTCTGGTGTTTCTTAAAGGATCTTATTTTATAGGTGATTAATCTGCACAGGCCATTCAGACTTCTGGATAGGAAAAGAGTATGGACAATAAATGTATAGCCCCTTTGAATCCTTTCCAAAATAGTAGATTTGAAAAGCCAGGCATGGTTGCACGTGCCTGTAATCACAGTACTTGGGAAATAAAAGTTGAAGGATCAGAAGTTTAAAGCCAGCCTTGACTGCATAGGGTGTTTAAGGCTGGTCGGGGCTATGTAAGACTCATCCCCTTCAAGGAAAAAAGAAACAGCTAGTAGCCGCTGTGGGTAAGATGACTAGAATCTCCTCTGGTCAATCTCACCTTCTGAAACAGGCATAACATTTTGAAATATTTTGCTTAATGCCATTAGTTTTAAGGGTGTCTTATTCCCATTCCAAAGATCAGCATTATGAAAACCTATTGCAATACTTCTATGGATAATTATAATTGAAAAATGATAATTTGAGAAGGAATTTTAACCAGAAAGAAGCGTGAATGAATCCTTTTAACAAGTGATTGAAAATCTCAGGAAAGGGAGACCCCTTGTTGCCAGATTCTGTAGTGACTCCAAATGATTCCAACATTAAATTGTACCTTAAAATTATAACTTTCTCCCAGTGAATGTCATGTCCCATAGCTCTTCTGTTTAGCCTGGACCAGGTCTTGTACTTGGTGTGGCCAAAGTGGTTTCTTATTTGGTATTGTTTATTTTGTTTTTGTTTTGTGACAGCTAAGTGCTTGTGCTTCATAGTTATCTAATGACCTTGTATAATCGACAACCAGTGTTCTCTGAAATTTATCTATTGCACTAAGCTAAATAACAACAGTGATTTTTTTTCCTGATCCTGTGATTTATGAACTAACGTTATAAACATCAGGGGGAGTGGGATTGAGAGAAAGCTCAGCAAGTAGAGGCACTTGCTGCTAAGCCTGAGGACCTGAGTTCAAGCCCTGGGACCCGCAGTGTAGAAGGCGAGAGCTGACTCCTGCACGCTGTTCTCTGACCTCCACTCTATGGTACTTGGTGCATGCATACACCCACCCACACATACATATATACGCACATACACAAATACACACACACACATACATACATACATATACACATATATACATATACACACATACATACATACATACATACATACATACATACATACATACATACAATTTTTTAAAAGCCCTCAATGGTCTGGGCATTGTGCTGCATATGTTACAAGTTCTGAAGCGTTGTTTATGGAGAAGTTGGACAGAATTTGGCATCTTTAAAATAGCAGTATTAGGGTAGGCATATCCCCACCCGTTTTTAGTTTTTGCTGTGTTGTTTCTGGGACAAACACTTGGTTAGGGTCCTCTTTTCTCTGGCAATGGCTGTCTAAGTTAAAGGAGCTTCATCCATTGGTGGAGGTGTGGTGTCTTGTTGCCGAGACTTCAAGCCTATCTTCTGTCTGTCTCTCGTTCCTAGGGCAGCCGCACTCTGGGGTGCTGCAGTCAGGGCTCATAAGCTGCTATGTCACCTACCTCACCTTCTCAGCACTGACCAGCAAGCCTGAAGAAGTCGGTAAGCCTGTCCAGAGGTGTGTGCTGATGGCGCGCACATCTTCATTCCCCAGAAATGAGCTGTTGCTGAGCTACTGAGGATTCGATAAAGCGCAGAAGCAAGATGATGGAGGCTTTTTCATTAAATAAAGTCTTCAACAGCGAAAATGAAAATTTCTTCTTACAATTTTTTATTTTATTTTTTAATTGTAATTGTGTGCATGAGCACATCTGTGCAGGCACGCAGGGGTCCAGAAGAGAGCATGTGATTCTTGGAAGCTAAGTTACAGGCCACTGTGAGCCACACGACATGGGTACAACAGCAGCAGCAACTGGTTACCACTGAGCCTTCTCTCAAAGTTCCCCAACCTTTTTTGAGTCTCCCTGCTGTGCCAAAAGAAACATGAGCAGAGATCAGCTTTTGTGGTTCTGCACTGTCAAGAACCACTTTATTTTATTCTGTTTTATTGGCTTAATTTTGTTTTGATTTTTTTGTTATCAATTTTTCCTACATCAGGAGGCTATTCTCTGACAGTGAGAGGAAGTGAGACGAGCATGAAGTTAAGGGAAGCACTAGGCACAATTTGAACCTGGGCTGGCAGGAAATGTCAGTGTCTTAGATGACATATATTCACAGAGAGAACAACACAGAGAAAGGAACATGACCCTTGGACCAGACTCTCTGAGCTCTGGTCTACGTGTGGTCTTTAGAATGCAGTGAAAATGCCCATGATGTGTGCATCAGTTCATCAGACAGAACAGTTGCTAGCACACAGCAAATGCTGTTACTAGTGTAAAATCGTTACAGTGATTATTTTGAAAGTTTTTAAAGTCAGGGTTCCATAGTCCTGGCTGACCTAGAACTCCCTATGTAGACCAGGCTGGACGCAAAAGCACAAAAATCCACCTGTCACTGCCTCCCAAGTGCTAAGATTGAAGGTATGTTCCCACCACACCAGTAATATTTTAATCTACAAAAGTAGCATTGTATTTTAACTTGGTATTGTGAACCCCAAGCCTTAAGAACAAATGGCCAAATTTTCATATTGATTTTCTAGATATTTATATTTTATCTTTATCACTTTTGTGATCTACATATAAAATATAGAAATGTATGAATGTTCAGGTATATTTGATCTTCTATAAATCAAGTAAATGTAGTCTCAATGAATAGAACATAGAGGTTGTTAACTTAGAAAACAAATGCAATGATTATTTAGATACAGGTTATTAGCCTAGAACTCACTATGTAGCCCGGGCTGGCCTTGAATTTGGTATTCTTCGGACTTGGCCTCCTAAGTGCTGGGATTTATAGGCACATGTCACCATGTTCAGTCAAGGTCTTGTCTTCACAGTAATGGTGCAAAGTAGTAACTGGAGGTTTTACAGTGAGTGTGGCTTATCCTGAGCGTAATCACATATATAAAAGCTCAGGCCTGACCCAGTTACTTAAAACTGTCTTTTACAATTGCTTATATATTAATCTCTGGTTTTAACTTAACGAAGGTTTTGTTCATAGTATTTTTTTAAATAGCAAGTATTTCCCAAAAACAGTAAAACACTTTTATTTGTAATTTTAAGTAGTACTAACTAAATATAAATGTTATATTTTGTTTACATCTTAAAAAAATCATTTCCTCTACTGGCCTGAAAAATAAAGAGTTTTTAAACCATAGCTGATATGCTTATATTTGCCCTTTCAAGGTGAATTCTAGGATAATTTCAGTTTACCCTCAAACAGAATGTGTGTTTGTAGAATGATTTCTGTACTTCCCTGTTTGGGGGTCAAGTTGGCAATCAGATCAGCTAGATAATCCTAACTGAAGCACTATGTTAAAAAAAAAAAACATTACTGAGAGAATTATTGTAAAAACATTTATATCTAGCTTCTTGACTTATTTCTTAAAGTTTCCAACTACCTCAGGGGGTTTCCAGGTCACAGGCTGAAAGAAGCTGTGTCCCTTATGCGGTCTGTAGTGACCAGTCTAAAGCTTAGGAACCGTTATACCATCTCTAAGTCGCTGCTCACACCAGGGGACCTGTGCTCTGCCCCTCCCTTCAGAGGCTTGTGGATCCAGGTGTTTTTTTTTTGTTTGTTTTGTTTTGTTTTTTTTAATAATAACAATAATAATTTTTAAAAATGAATCTAACTTTGTCTTTACTGTTTTCTGTTTAATATAGGAAAAGAGCAAGAGTGACTAAGTTATCACACCCTTGAACACTTAACTGGAACACAGAGGGGGTGCTTGTTCCTCATGGGTGCTGATATGGAGAGCAAGTGTTTTGAACTAGCAAAAGTGTATTCTGTGAAGACTTAGACTCTAGAGTAGGCATTCCCAATGTGAAGGGCTTAGTGTTGGGGAGGGGTCACGCCAGAGCTATCTGCATCTTCCCAGAGAGGTGCTGTCAGGTCCAGTAGGCATTCCAGCATGACTGTGTTTGCTTTGTGCTATTTACAGTCCTAGATGAACACGGGAAGAATGTCACCATATGTGTGCCTGACTTTGGTAAAGACTTGCGTAGAGACGAAAACATGGTGACCTGGCTGGGCACTATTCTCCTCATTGTGTGCATCTCATATTCATGGTAAGTCCTAGGAGTCTTTGAAATTAAACTTGCAAGCTCTAAAAGTAAAGGGAAGGTTATTTACGCTTCAGACCCTGCCCATAAGAGAAACATAGCCAGAAGTGACAGAGCGGGTTGCTACATGGTCTCCTAGGTGAAATCATGTACTCAGTACTCCATTGTATGGGGGAATGGGGTAGGTGCATGTTTTGTCTAAAAGACAGTTTTGAAGAGTAGTTGCTATGTCATCTCTGAAGAGTAAGAGAGCATACAGGGAGGAAGATGAAAATGTAGTATATGCAGGGTGTTCTGGCAAAACTCTAATCCAAGGTTTAGCATTTGGTTTGTTAGCAGTGGAGAGAAAGGTTGGTTGTTCTAAGCATCCAGTGAAGACCAGAACCGTCCCTCTTCTCTGCGCTGAAACCGCAATGCTGTGAAGTAGGCCAGGTGGCATCTCCAGGGTCTATGGAAAATGTGTAATGTAAGCAGGCTGTTTCACATGCCTGTGCCAGAGGAGACTCCACTTTAAAAAATACTTCAAAGGTTGCTGGAGAGAAAAGTAAGACTGGAAATGGTTGGTTCCCTATTCTGGGTCCATATTTTACTGATAATGAAGCCTCCTTTTGACAGGAGCCTTCCAGAATTGGGTTTTACTTCAGTGTGTTTTATGTTTTGTTTCCGTGTATAAGAAATTCAACTTGTGGGCACATTATAACTTTCCTCTTGCTGAAACTAAACAATCCTGGTGGTGCCAGCCTGTATAAATAAAATGTCTGAGCACACTGACAGGCTCTCTAACAAATCCTGCTGAGAGGAAGGGCCAGCAAGGGCCTACACAGTGCGTTTGCTCAGAACTGTGACCCAGCCAGGGAACGCTTGCTCGTGCGCCATGTAGTTAAAGGGATGGTTCTTCAACACTGCTCCCCAGTCTGCCAGTGTCACGTGACAGTCTTCCTTACGTCAGAAGGAATCTTGGTAGAGGTCTGTTCTGACATTTAGTTCCATCAGTTGTCTGCTGAGTGCCTGCTCTACTGAAGCAGGGAGAGGTGAGGCTGGGGAGATGGTGCGGTCAGTAAAGCTCTCCAGTGCCCATGAAAACTGAGCTTGGTCACGCATACCGCTAACCTAGTGCTGATGTGTGGACAGCAGCCCAACTCAAGCTCTAGGTTCAGTTAGGGACCCTGTCTCAAGAGAGGATGGTGGGAAGAGACTGAGGAAGACAGCCACCATCTTCCTCTGACATGTACGTACACACACGTATGCATGTACACAGACACAAAATTTAAAAAGAATGAGGAGGATTCAACTCAGTGGTCAGTTCCAGTAAGCCCATACCCCGTGCAACTACTTTCCCTGCTGGTTGTGTGCTGGCTAGCTGTTTGTCAGCTTGGAGGAACCTAGAGTAATCTGAAAAAGAAGCTTACATTGAGAAAGTAATCCTATCAGATTGGCCTGTGGGCAAGCTTACAGTGCATTTTCTTGATTAATGTGGGAGGGCCCAGCTCACTGGGGGTCTGTGCAGGTAGTTGTATTCAGAAGGAGGCTGAGAAAGCCTTGAGGAGCACAGCAGTAAGCAGCACTCCTCCGTGACCTCTGCTTCAGCTCCTGCCTCCAGGTTTCTGCCTTGAGAACTCTGACTGAGAAGTCTGCCCTGACTTCCTCACTGTTGGGCTGTGACGTGGAAGTGTAAGATGAAATAAGCCCTTTCTGCCCTGGTTGCTTCATGTCATGGTACTTACCACAGAAAGCAAACCAGCATGTGAGAATGTCAGTGAGTGGAGCTGCAGTGATAGTCAGCAGCTCCAGCACCGACTGTTCTTCCAGAGCCCCTGGATTCAGTACCTTGGCAGCTGACAGCAGAAGTAGCTCCAGGCAATCTGACACCCTCTTCTGGACTCTAGGACACTACACACACATTCATACACAAAATAAAAATAAGCAAAAGTGTCAAGAATATTGGTTAGCCAAGAGAACAGTAGGTTATTACTAAGCTATGTATAGCTCATTTCCTTTAAGAAATCTTTTATTTTTTTAAATTATTTATTATTTGTACAGTATTCTGCCTGCATGTGTGCCTGCATGCCCAAAGAGGGCACCAGAACTCAACTATAGATGGTTATGAGCTACCAAGTGGTTTCTGGGAATTGAACTCAGGACCTTTGAAAGAACAGCCAGTGTTCTTAACCTCTGAGCCATCTCTCCAGCCCTCCCTTTAAGAAATCAAACACAGTTGTATTTATAAAAATTCCTGGGCGGAGGCGTTGGAGAGTTGGCTCAGGGGTTGAGAGCACTTGCTGCTCTGGCAGAGGATCCAGGTTCAGGTCTCAGCACCACATGGCAGCTCACACCCATCTCTAACTAAGCTCCAGTTCAGGTGCTTTTTTCTCTGTGTCCACCAGGCACACATGTGGTACGCAGACAGATTTACAGGTAAAACACTCACACTCATAAATAAATCTTTATAAAAACAAGCAAATGAAAAGCCTAGAAACTCCCAGGAGGAGACAAACCAAACTCGTGGTGTTTTTGGTGTTTTGGTTTGTGTGTTCATTTGCAGTGAGATAGGGTTTCTCTTTGTCATATTTTGCATTATCAGAGGAAATTATAAGGGTTTTTAGCAGAATGAAATACTTGTTTTTGAAAGTTAAACGGTGTCCACTGAAGTTGGGGTTGTGGGGCGAGGGAGGCAGTAGTTGTCCCTTTGCTAGCCTGGAGGTTTAGATTTACTGCGACCATCAATGGGATGACAGCAGAGTCCTACTGGGTCCATTGCATAGATGGGCAGTTGTGGGGTCTCACAGTACGGAATTTTTACTCAGATTTGTTTCCTGCTCCTAAGAGTTGTGAAGACTCACTTTGGAGTATCTGTAATCCCAGCTAATGCCATTGGCTGAGGCAGGAGGATTAAAAGTTTGAGGCTAGCCTTAGAAACTTAGCAAACCCCAGCTTTGTTTTGTTTTAAGTCACTTTTAGGACTGGGAATGTGGCTCAGTGGCAAAGCCATCCACACATGTGTGTCCCCCCTCCCCCCCACAGATACACACACATGCATAAGCAATAAGAAAGGTTCAAGTCAGTGGCCATTTCCAGAGAGCTCATAAGCCACCACAGCTTCTCACAGTGGTTCTCAACTCCCAGCCCACCCCCAAAGAAAAATCACTTTTAAGTTTGGGCTTAGCATAGTGGAAATGAATTTGCGTGCAGTTCTATATGTATAAAACCGTAGATCAAATCCCTGGCATGACAGAAACAAAACAACAACAAAAACCAAACAGAAACAGAAAGATAGCTTTTGAGAGAGATGGTCTCTAAGAACTGAGGCCGCACAGATGCTCCCCGAAGATGCCAACTTTCAAAGCTGACAGCTGCGTTTTAGAAATCTGTCCAAATGCCAACAGCAAATGATATTACTGAGTGCTGGTAATCACACTGCAGAACTGGAGTGGCCAGTGGAGGAAAGAGAAAAGCAGCAGCCCAGTTGCACGTGGGTGCTTCTGTAACTCGCTGGCTTGAACACACTCCAGGAGTTGGCTCACATCATGTGGTGTCTGTAGCTTGATGCTTGTTGTAATTCCCTTCTGCAGCATCAGGAGGCGTCAGTGTGCAGACTGTTATAAACAAATGGCTTGGCTTCAAGATCACAAGGCTCTGATTCAGACTTCTTAGGGCCTTGAGAGGACATGCTGCTAGAACACCAGGTAGTTTGCAGATTACAAGGGGAAAAAAAGTCACCAGTGTTCTGTGTAAGACCCAGGATTGTCTGGGATTACATTTTGTAATATTGAAAGCTTGGCCTATTCAGCTTCTCTCGGTTTTCTATGGGCTCCTGCACCACCCCCAAATACTTCCTTAGGCATCATGTCTGCCCTGGGTCCTCCGGACACTTCCTGGGAATACACTTTACTCTGTGTTATCTGAACCTTTTTTTCCTGGGCTGTGTGCTCTCTAGAGACCCCACCTGGTGCTGAGGAGTTACTGCTGTGAAGGAGTGTCACAGCCAGGACCCCAAGATGGCTGCCCAGGTTCCATAACAGTTTGCTTTGTTAGTCCAGCCTTCCCACCTTCTCCTGAATCCTGTAACTAAGTCCAGCTTCCACTGGACATCACAAAGTTCTTAATCCTTCCTTCGTCTACAGGTTCAGATTGCTATATTGTTATTTCCAGCTAAAGCTGTCAAACTGGCTTAGACCCTGGAGTCCTTTGTACCTGTGAAGGATGGAGTGCATTCCTGCAGCTCTCCACTTAGGCTTCAGGAGACTTGGGCTAAGCCTCTTTTGCTAGATATGTGGAGAGATGATAGTCACATAGTTAGAAAAAAAGTCTTTAGGGAGGAAAGATTTATTTTGGCTCATGATTTCTGAGAGTGTTCTAGGTTTCTTTCTGTTACCATGATGAAAACCACAGCTGGCTAGACTCAAGATAGTCATTTGGGAAGGGGAACCTCAGTTGAGAAAATGTCCCCACCAGCTTGGGCTGTGGGCAAGCCTGTGGTGTGTTTTCTTCATTGATGATGATATGGGAGGGTCCAGCTCGGTGTGGGCAGGACTACCCCTGGGCAGGTGGGCCTGGGTACTCTCAGAAGGCAAACTGAGCCAGCCAGGAAGAACAAGCCAGTAAGCAGCACCCTCCGTGGCCTCTGCATGTGATCTTGTCTCCAGGTTTCTACCTTGTTTGAGTGGTTCCCCTCCAACGAAGGACAATGACATGGACGCTGAAATAAACTTTCCTCTCCGAGTTGTTTTGATGGCGGTGTTTTATCACAGTAGGGGAACCCTTAACTAAGACAGTGACCAAATAAGGGTTTTTTCACCTTACAGCTTGTAATGCATCATAAAGGGAGATGAGGGCAGGAACTCATGGCAGGAACCGGAGCAGAAACCACAGAAGAATGCTGCTTACTAGCTTGATCCTCGTGGCTTGCTCAGCGTACTTACACAGACCTATCTGCCCAGGGTGGCACTGCACACAGTGGGTGGGCCCTCCTACGTTAATCAGTTAAGCTTTGAACGTTTAATTGCCTTTCTAACCTAAAGTTTCAAATACTTCACAACCCTTCCCAGAAGAACATGGTCAGGTCTGTCACAGCAATAGCCAACTTTTTAGTACCAATTTCTGTTCTAGTTGCTTTCTCTTGCTGGGACAGGATGCTAAGCTGGGTGACCTGCACAAGTAGATCATTGGGAAGCATTTGTGTTACAAAGTATTCCTTGCTTATTTTCATTTTAGTTTTTCTTAACAGAAAAGAAAAAAAAAACTTTAGTATTTAAGCCATCTAGGAAAATACCCACTGAATATACAAGTGGGAAAGCTAAGAATCTATATTAAATGCTAAACAACTTCCTCATTCAAAGTAGGATGCTCACAGCAATACAGCGTGTCGTGTGGAACAGGTATGGTGTTCTGGTAAAGATTGGCTTAAGCTGAGAAAAAATGGCAGATTAAGGAGGAGTGTTCATTTGGCATATTCTGGACCTGCTGCTCTTATTTAAGAAGAAAGGAATGGTGGTGATTTGCTTTTTTATTTTAGAAATCCTGCCACCACTTCAGCAGCTAGCCAGAACTCTTTATGCGTCAGGAGCATGGGGCGGCCTCCCCCGGTGCCCCCAGAATTCTGCTCTCCTTTGATAGTCATGAATCACTGACCACACAGCATTGTGGGGACATGATTGACCTGTGTCACACAAAGGCTGGACGGAGGCATGACGTGTCCTGGGCCTGCCTTGTCAATTTCCTAGGGTTAATAGAGGTGTGTGATCTCCAGCATAGTCTGGGACTTTCTTGGGATCTCCTGGGACTCGTGGGACTTTGGCTATTTCTGCTGTGAACTGCAACACGATCTCAGGAAGCACTTGCGCCCAGCTTTGCTCTGAGCATGTGGCAGAGGTTGGGGTGTTGCAGTAGTTTGTAGAGGGAAGGCAATGTACTGAAGACTCGGTGAGTGATTACAAGGAACCTGGGCATTTGCGGGCGGGATCCAGAGACCCTGAACAGCCTGTGTTGCATTAGCTGTTCTCTGAGCGGTGAGAGATGGCACCACTCAGGTGCTCTTCTCTCTCCACCATGCTTCACCGCAGGGCACAGCACTGACATGTGTAGCCCCATCCCAGAGGACCCCCTCGAGGCTTCCTGTCGCTTCCCTGCAGCTTGCTGAGCTCTTTTTCTCCTTGGCCAAGAGTGAGAGGGAACCAACAAGATGCTGTTGCTTCCTGGGGTTGATTTGGTGGACATGAATCTTAATTTCTTCCTGTCCACTGGGAGCCTTGCTTCTTGAGCAACAGCAGTCACCCTCGTGTCCTTGTAAGCTCGGTTCTGCGTGGGGCAGGGTGGCTGCATCTTCACCAAAGAGCCCCTAGTGCTCAGAACAGGGCCTGCCACCCACGCACATGGCCTGAGGAATTGTTTGTGAAATGAATGTATGAAGTTGGTTAAGTGTTGAATATATCTGTTTGTTTAAAACGCTTCCATGTTTTTATTTAAGGGAGAAATAAACACTTTTACCTTTGTGAGTCAATGTTACATATCAGTTTACCTCTAGATGTGGAGGAAAGGTGGAAAAAAATTTTTGGATAGAGTCTCCTGAAGGCCAGGCTAATCTTGAATAAACTGTGTAGTCAAGGATAACCTTGCATGTCTAATCTTTGTGTCCCTCTCTCTCAAGTCTGGAATTACAGGTCTGTATAACCACACCCAGCTTACGTGGTGCTGGGAACTGAACCCACACCTTTGGGTGCACTATGCAGGCACTGTGCTAGCTGTGCTACAGTGCCTAGATTTAAAAGAGCAAAGCAGGCTAGCAGTGTTTTCAACAACTTTCAAAGGGTCTTCTTTCTCCTCTGGGTTCTCTCATAACTCTAAGTGAGACCAGAGAGAGAGAGAAAACAATAGAGAGGGGGGAAAAGAAAGGTAAAGATGAATTATTAAGTGACTGTAGCACTTGAGTGAGGAGCAGTTGTGGCACCTGTGAGGCTCGCCCAGCCAGGCAGCTTTCCGCTCCATTCCAGATGGCAGCCCCTCACTGTGTTCCTGGTCTTTTTTTTTTTTTTTTTTTTTTTTTCCTAGTTTGACATCAACAACACGGGCAAGCTCAGATGCTCTGCAGAGACGATATGGAGCCCCTGAACTAGAAGTAAGTCCCTTTCCTCTTTTTCCCTTGCTTTAGCTCCGGCTGATTTCTCAGGAGAGCCCTCTGTGCTGGTGGTGTTGTTTTTGTTGTTGTTGTTGTTGTTTTTTTGTTTTGTTTTGTTTTGTTTTGAGACATATTCAAAGCAAGCTTTAATTAAATACTGGCCAGGATGATGGACTCTGGCCAGGTCCATTCCTGGTTCCCAGAAAATGGCAATGGGTAACATTTTGCAGAGGCTTAAAAAGGCAAATCCATAAGGCCAGAGTATTTCCCATCAGCTACAATAAGGGGCAAGCAAATATCCTGACACACTCTCTGCCAGCATGCCTCCTACAGCCAATCAGGGGCAAGCATACATCACAGTGTATTTCCTGCCCATGTACCTCCTCCCTACATGTGATCAACCACCTCCAGTGTAATTGAGCCTAAAGAAACTTGACCAATAAAAAGACAACCTTTACACAGTGCACAGATCACCCCAACAGTCCCACTTTTTAGTCCAATAAAAGGCTCTTCTGTAACATCAGTAAACTATACACAATGAGAGCTATCAGGTAAGGATTACATTCGCACTGTTTAGTTTATCTGTATTTGCCAACTTCGAGAAAGGATTTTCTCGGTGACTCCAAAGTTCTGTACCTAAATCATTGTCTATCATATCTTGCATTTATCAACCTAAAAACATCTTTTAAGAGCTTAAAACATTTTCTTTGATCCTTTACAACTTAAGCTTTTATGTCTTTCAACCTTTATAAACTTTACATCTCTTTTGGGAATTTCCTTTCTGAACTTGGTAACAAGGAAAACTGTAAGACTATACTATCTAGTCTTCAACCCCATCAGAGACCTGAGAAGGATAAATATTACCCGAGAAAACAGCATGTGCAGAGCAAGCAGCTTCCAAAACCATAGAATGACAGAGGCTGCGGCCCCCTGGACGGTCACCCAAGATTCCTCTGCAGTTTTGGAGCATCCATCTTCGGCCTACTGGCTCAGAATATCTGACAGACTCATCTGTGAAGCAGGAATATTGAAGGACTAGCCTACATTGTCTCAGCAAAGCTTGGCAGTCAACTTCCTCTGTGTCCTGAGCTGCTATTATAAGCTGTTTAGGATAATTAAGAAATTCTAGCTACTTGTCAATCAAACTTGCCATGTCAGGTACTGGTTTAGCTAATTACAGCAATAAGCTTTATTTCACCGCCTGTAGCTCTTTCAAAGTTAAACAGATAGTAAGTAGTTGGAAACAAGTAATGTTTGCCTATTCAGTTATACTGAGATAGATAGATAGTCTTCAAACTATTCAGAGATCTACTGAATATGGCATTTAATGATGCCTTAATAATAAAAGGCTCTTTTGACAGTGAGACATGCCTGCTCCTGGCAGCACCCTCATACTACTTCAAAGAAGATGATGGGCATTGAAGAACCTCTGTATGGGTTTGCATGGTGACAAAGCTACCACCAAACAAAACTGCCCTCTCCTCAATTGCTGACAGCATGCTGTCCAAACCATGTTTGTTTGGTTTTTTTGTTTTGTTTTTGTTTTTGTTTTTGTTTTAATTTAAAAGTAAGGTTTTTTTGAAATAGCATCTGGTGATCGTGGTCTCTTCAGACTCCACCCCATCCATCCAACTTAATGCTTCTTTCTCTCCCTTTTAAAAACAGGGCAATTAAAACAAACAAAACAAAACAAAAAACCAAAGCAAACAGAGGAAAAAGAAAAGAAGCACAAGAAACACATGAGTGCATACTCAAGCTGAGATACCCATGCACACACAAAATCCACACCGACAGAAAATCAGAAACTATAATAGATAAGCAAAAGACAAGTAAGGTAGAGAATGTCCAAACAAAGCATTATGAGTCAGAACATCTCCAGAAACACCACTAAGTTTGTTTTGTATTGGCCATCTCTGCTGGTTGTGGGACCTGCCTTGTATATACCTGGCGTGTATACCTAGTGAGAAAACTAAATTTTCCTTTGCACTGTGCATACACACACGCACACGCACATGCAAGCATACATTCATGGTTCTTTTTTTGTCTGAGAAAGAGTAAGATTTTTGTATAGAAAAAGAATTATTGTCCTGTGTATTAAAATGAAAGAATTCTTGATCTTTCATCAACAATGTTGACCACTTGTCTGGCAACCTGGCCCCTACGCTCAGCCCAAGGCTTGGGGACCTTGCCAACCAGGCCTTGGTTTATGCTCTCTTTGGTTGTAACAGTACAAATGTTCTTTTTGGCCTCAGCCATTCACCTGCCTGCCACCCGTCTAAAGACTGCATCCAGCTTAGCTAGGGGCTTATGTAACATCACTATGGAAGACCGGAGGGAGACAGGCAAGGGAGGGAGCCCTGCATGCTCTGAGCACTGCTGAGCTTGGTGGGGACACTGACACCTTAATTATGTGTCAGTTCCATCACAGTGTGTCATTCAGTAAAGAATTCAGAGCTGCAGGCACACTGAGGCAGCCATTTGCCTGCATGTCAAAGTCTGCGTGAGTATTTAGCTGACCGTCCAAAAAATCTTGTATTTTCCTTTCCTGTACAGAAATCTTTATTTCTAGAAATCCTGATGAAATATAAACCGTAGTTGGAAAACTCAAACAGTCAGAGCAGTTAAGTAAAGTCTTAGCCCTGGCTCTGAGGCCAGTAGGGACCCCGAGCTCCAGTGCTGGCTGAGTTGGTTAGGCTTGCCTGGTGCTGGGTGCTGTTCTGAGCTTCCATGTGCCTTTTCACTTAGTCCTCACAAAAGCCCAGTGAGGGGCTGGTCTTTGCATTTTGCAGAGGGAACAAACCCTTCCATTTACCAGGAAGTAGCCCCAGAGCGCATGTTCTTGAGTGCACGTTCTTGACTGCGCGTTGCCTGGGAACATAGCTGCTGTCTCTGTCCCTGCTGTTGGCATTGCCTGGTATCGGCCACAGGCTCCATCAAATAGCATCTACTGGATGGACAAACCTGGTGCCTTTCCAGATATGGATTGGGACTTCACGCCTCAGCTGGCCATCGACGGTTCCCTTTCCAGCACCTGACCTAGAAATAGTGAGCCCTTATGAAGGTTTTTAAGCTGCCAGTGTTGTTCAGCTCTGGGCTTAGAGAAGAGGTCTCCAGAAGCAGCCTTTGTGCCTTTGTTCTCAGCACTGGCTGGGTGGCCACCGCTGAGGGTGGAGCATTCTAGTTTCAATGTCCCTATTGTGTACACAGTTCAAGCTCAAAGAGCAGCAAGTCCCCAGGTTAGATGGAAGAGAGAATGTTGTTCTCCTTTGAGAGGGAAGCCACCCACTGTTTGCCTCTGAGCAAGTGAGTTCATGCCTCACATTGAGTTGCCTGGGATATATCTTTGAAGAACCAAGCTAATATTTTCTGTGGTAACTTAAGCTTCAAAAGAAACAGGACCTCAGCGTGAATAAAGTGGGCCCACTGCGGTAGTGGATTGTACACAGCCCACACCATCTGATACAAGTCTTGTGGAGGAGGAAGAAAACAAGGGCTTGGCCTCGAGTGGGACGTGTGGGCTGGATGGCTGATGCTCCCATGACCCTCAGCTCTGGCCCTCTGGTTTGTGTAGCTCAGCTGTCTTCCACTAGAGATAGCAAGAACGCCTGCTTCCCAGATAGTCTTGGCATGTGTAGTTCTTCTTATCAGTCTTTCTGCAAACATGTAATAAAACTTTCATAATTTAGTTTCTTTTTCTTTTGAGTTCATTGTTTTGAACAAGTAAAAAATATGATATAAAATTAAAAATGTACTGAAGAATCAAGTATTCCAGGCTTCTGTGTCCACAGCCAGATCAGCAGCCTGATTTGTTTACTTTATTTTGTTTCTATAAGGGTCTCACTAACCCAGTCTGGCCTGGACCTTGCTCTGCAGCCCAAGCTGCTTTGAACTCACTGTGTCACACAGGATAGTCTTGAGTTCGCTGTGCTGCTCGGGGCAGCATGAGCTTGGGATTCTTCTGCCTCTGCCTCCTGACTGTCAGGGCAGGAGTGCCTACTGTAATCCTTCCTTCAGAGTTCTCCCTTGCACCCAAAGTACACAGGCCTCTTACTCCTGTGGGTCACAATCCCAAGGTCTCATTCTGCATGGCCCAGCTGTTGTGAAGCTGCTTTGGTGGCTTCCTGCTAGCTGTTTAACCTGCTCAATTTCACCGTCTTCAGTTGTGAGCATGATCCTAGTTCCTGTCCCCAAGGCAGGACAAGAATTGTAAGTAGCATGCAGAACGCATCACTGGAAAGTGTGAGGCAAGTAGGGTTGTCTCAGTTCAAGTCATCCAGAAGTAGGAACTGAGGCAGGATGTCTCAATTGGGTCATTTGTTAGGGGTCATCACATGTAGAAGAGAGGAAGGGGGGAAGGAGACAATTAGGCAGAGTATAAATAAAGTTAACGGACAGTATAGGCTGGACTGACCCCAGGACATGCTCCCAAGCATGTATGGTGCCTCAGAGTGTTCTATGTCATCTGTTAGCTGGGCCTTTATATGCCAAGAGCAGTCATTTGATAGAGGGTACCCAGAAAGGGCTTGCTACAGGACAAGGCGGTTGAAGCTGAAGCCATACCTGAAGGAGCTGGGACAAGGCTCTGCTCCCAGAAGTCACAGTAGGTGCGGTGAGCTCTAGGCCATCCGCTCGCCTATGAGGGTGTTCCCTCTTGCTGTACCCAGTGTATCTGGGGACAGATACTTAGCGATAGAAGCTTTGCCACTTGGGTAGCCTGCAGTGCTAGGGCCATAGAAAACAGGCATCTGACTCAGTTGCCTTTGCTCCCACAGGTAGCCCGGTGCTGTTTTTGCTTCGATCCAGATGGAGAGGGTAAGTGCAGCACTTCTGCACTGGGCTTTGCAGGCTGGAATCTCTCCCAACTTCTCCCATCTTCAAGGGTTGATGAATTTTGTTTGTTTTGTTGGCATTCTGTCAGGGAAAATCACTGTGCAGTTTGGTTCATATCTAAGTTAAGGGATAGAAAAAAGTATGCTTTTTTTTTTTTTTTTAAGGAATGGTGTAAAAATGCCAAAAGACCACTACACCTCATTTGGGAACCACAGTTTTCTTCAACTTGCTTTTCTTCATAGAAGGAAAAGTCCCAGGGTCGAAGGCTTCTGGGTTTCCCTCTGTGCTGAGCTGCTGATATTCTCTATGTCTTTAAAGGCTCTCTCTCTTCCACCCCTCTAACGCATATTTTTGAACTCACCCAGTGGAGAAAATGCCTGGGGTCACTGAGGTACAGGTGGCTTTTGTATGCTTTTCCCCTCGGCAGCACACTAGGACTGAAATGTGCAAGGCAGGAGCTGCTGTAGTACTGAGCACTCATGGGCTTACCACTGCCCTTGGGCACCCTTTGTCCTCTACAGACGCTGAAAAGCAGCGGAATATCAAAGAGGGACCACGGGTCATTTATGATGAGAAGAAAGGCACCGTCTACAGCTACTCTTATTTCCACTTTGTCTTCTTTCTGGCTTCTCTCTACATGATGATGACATTGACCAGCTGGTTCCAGTGAGTGGCCTATTTGAATGCCTTAAAACCAACCCCAGTGTAAATATTTCTATACAGTAAAGTATTTGTCTGAGAAGCACAAAAACAAAAAGCAAAAAACAAGACAAAAAAAAAAAAACCCTCAAAAACTAGTTCTCACACACCCATACATAACCTTTGTGGCTAACAGCTTCCCATTCTCCCTGGAAGATCAGTGCCCGTTCTGGAACACTGAGTATGCTCACTGCAGTTAAGAAGCAGAAGTAACCTGGGGATGCTCGAGGCAGAGCATGAGGCAGAGCCTCAGTGTGTGAGGGCTTGGTTCTCTCTCTACTGAGAAACAGAGCAAACCAGACAGGAAGGGCCAAGTCTGGAGAACACTGTGGTAGCCTTAAGTGTTAATACAGTGGGGTTTTTTCCTGCTTCAAAATATGCATCTTTTACTCGTTCCAGCTTTTAATTTAGCCGTGCCTGGTGGCTCTGATCTTTCCTACACGGAGAGTCATACTTTCTCTGTGGACCCAGGCTTCGAGTTGTGTCCATGTTTGACTGTTAGTGAACAGGCAATTGGTTGTTCTCATGTGCCACATTGATGTAAGTCCCAGAGACTGGGCTCTAGCTAGATGGACAGACCATGACCCTAATAAATTCCTTTGTATCAGATGGTGGTGAGTGCTGGGGAATGGATGCCATGGTATAGGAGCTATAGCCCAGAGTTACAGAGCTCTTTCTGGAGGACAGTCTTCCTGAAGGAGGCCGAGCTCCGATGTTCCCTAGTGATCCTTTGAAAACTGGAGGAATTTTGGTTCGAAACATCTAAGAAAGGATGGACAGAGCTAAAATCATGATGACCAGACGGTGATAAGTGTTGCAGATAGATAGAAATTGGACTTTCCTTTCAGTGCCGATTGGAATGCAGAATGAAGCCACATTTGATAAATACATTTGGCAATGGTTTAAAAAAATAACTTTGCAATTCCTTTCATGGTTCAACACAAGTTGTAGTATAACCCAAGAAATTCCCTCCTAAGTATAAGATTTAAGACAGAAAGGAGAAATACCAAAAAATTATAGACAAATGATCATGCCATAGTAATTTATAACAAGTCAGGATTAGCTCAGATGTTTGTAACTGAGAAGAGAGCAAAGCATGCTATTTTTACACAGTGAAATACAATTTATCAATAGGGAGTGACATACAGGTGACGATCCCCGATCCAGAAATTCAAACTGTTCTCAAATCTAACATGATATGGGAAGGTTCCCATTTCCAATTTTGGACTTGCTCAACTGGTAACATCTATGTAATTATTCCAGAGTGAAAAACTCAAATATGTAGTCTCAGGGATTCCAGGGAAGGATGTATGGTATAACACAAAGAGCTTTGGAAGCAATACAACAGTCTTTAAGGGTTTGAAGAGTCACCAAATGATGCATTTTCAATGTATGTGAGTTATAACTCCATTATGAGAAAGAAAGTTACTAAGAAAGAAAGTTGAAGTCCGCCAGGGGCGGGAAGTACCTTGTTATCTTTATGCTCTCACGACTATGCGTCCGTTTCTCAACAGCTATGAAAATGCCACCATTGAGACCTTCGTCATCGGGAGCTGGTCCGTCTTCTGGGTCAAGATGGCCTCCTGCTGGATGTGTGTGGTGTTATACCTGTGGACCCTGGTAGCCCCTCTTTGCTGTCCCTCTAGGCAGTTCTCTGTGTGAGGATGTCCAAGTGCCCCTCGGCTCAGCAGGCCTGTGCCTACTCTGGAGGGCTGCCCTTTGAACTTGTGCACCCGCAGCAACTGGTGCCCTGTGATAAGCTGTCACCCCCCTGGGTCTCTTTGGTGGGTCTGACAAAGCTTTCAGGAAATAAGTAAAATCTCCCAATTAGCTTCTTAACTGTAAAATCCAAAAGGAAACTACCAGTTTGACCCAGAGGAATTGAAATCTTTAGCCAAGCTGATAAGTGCAAATGTTTCTGTAAAGCTACCCTATGTGGTAGCTAAAGTTTTGTTGCTATTTTTCCTGGGTGTGTTTTAACCAGAGCAGAACTTGAGGCACCATGTCCATCACAGGGATGAAAATGGCCCTGTACGGCCTGTCATCCTCATTGTTGTTACACAGAGGCGACCACAGCCCCTGTCACTCACTCCTGCCCCCTAGAGCCCTCACAGCTCCAGTTTATGTAGGGTATAGGAGGAAGCCCCTCCTTTGAGCCCACCCTCAGAACTACTTCCCCATGTCCCTGCCTGAGGTCATGATGCTGGGAGTCATGGCCTTCCTTTCCTCTCTGCGCTTGGCAGTGGTCCGTCATTCTTGTCTAGGGTTGCCTTTGAAATAATGTGAAAAGCACAATTTGCTCTCAGCGCCATGGGATTCTCCGTGTTTTCCCTCCCCAATCCAAGTCACCGCAGTAATCATGGCGCTCATTTAAGGTGGCGTTTCTGTGACGGTGAAGCCATGCTCATGCTCTTTTCTTTGCCTGAGCGAGCAGTGGGGTTACAGTTCTTACTTGTTTGTGTCATTAGCAGTAATGCTTCAAGGATCTTAGCAAAAATGTCGCTTCTTGGCTGCAGCCTGCCACACCCCTCCAAGTATTACGGTCAGGCCCCTGAGTCTCCTCCTCCATGGCTTCCTCCTCACTTACAATGTGTCCCCTAACTTAGCGTCACACTTCCCTTGACGTGGAAGGACTGGGGCGAGGATCCCAGGCAACTTCAACAGGGCCGACCAGATAGAGCTATGGACTAGCTATGGAAGTGCAGAATTAGACTTAGATGCAGAGGTAGGTGGCTGGGGTCACTCACAAGCTACGCTTGCACCCACCGGCACTGCCCAGCTACACCTGGGCAAGGCCTGCTCACAGGTGTGCATTCTTAGTGCTGATGTTGTCTGAGAGGAGCTTCCCCAGTGCCAAGGCTGCTGAAGACGCTGGTGGAGGTATACTCTGCTTTCATGGGAGTGGGGCTCCTCTCGCCAAGCCAGAAGGACTCAGTCTAGCCCGTGTGCGTATGTGTGTAGGAGTGTGTACACAGATGTGTGCCTACCTGAACAAGTCACAACCACCCAAGCCTGGTTCCCACATGCAAAAATGTCCAATCCTTCATTTCTGCTCCCTCCTGTGTCCTCCTGCTAAAAGTTCCGGGGGTGAGGGGGTTGCAGAGCGATAGGGGTGAGTTCTCTGAAGAACTTGCCTTATTTACAGTGTTTGAGGTTCAGTCTTAAAAGGTACATAGATAAGGTTACCTTGTCTGTAAACCTCACCACAATTCCTATAGGTCAGGGGCTCTCAGCACTTCAAAGACACACACATGAGCATCACAAAACACATAACTGTGTACTAACTCCAAACAAGTCTAGTTAATCCAATAGGAACGAGAGCCCATCCACAGGGAGTGCTTCAGAAAGCAGGCTGTGTGAGCCAGTGCTATGGCCATTGCTGTGCCTGAAGGCCATGCTGTGAGAAAATGCAGAGGGGCCCAGGAGCCGTGGGAATTCTGCCAAGGTCTAGTCAGTCCTGCATCCAGTGGCAGGCCCTGTGGCTTCCCTCTCACACAGCCATGCCTTACTTACTTTCCAGCTGCCTAAGTCTTGGCTGAGTGCGTGCCCTGCCCTTCAGAAGCTGTGTCTCACACAAGAGGCAGAGCAGGCCGATCCTGTCTGTGTGCACGCTCAGCTGGTACTGTTAGGTTGATAGTCAGAAGTGGCCAGTGGGTGACTCGAGAAACTGGAAGGTGGGCCAGTTGCTTTGAGTTAACATCAGCGTTGTTAGCGTGCTGGATCCGCCGGGAGCTTTTCTAGACAACAGACTGCCTCCTGCAATCACACAGGACTACCGATGTGCAAGCCTCGCGTGCTCGAGGCTTCTCATCTGAGCCCTGTGGTCATGCAGCCTGGCAGCAGAGTTTTAAAAGCTGTGTGTGTTCCTCTCCCGCTCTCGTTTATGAGTCAGGCATTATGCCATGGAGGGATTCTCCTAGAAATCTTGCGTAGACGTAGTACCCAGGTGGAGACTGGAGACGGCCCCAGTGTTCACCTTTGGAAAGCCTGCGGTGCATTGCTGAGCCGAGTTTTTGTGGTGCTGCACAGCTGATCTGGGTTTCTTGGGAAGTCAGCAGATGAATTGTTTTCCAGAAGTTTGGGGAAGTTTTATGTAGTGAGTGAACTGAAGTATGGAAGGAGCTGGGGAGAGTGTGGGGTATTGAGACTGGGGTTCTGATTCTCACACGGTGGCAATGTCCCAGTTCCATGGGGACTTAACTCTAGTGTTAATTGACCCTTTCCAAAATTGCCATCCTCTGCCTTTTTCTGATGATGTATTCATTTAAATTTGCCAGAAGCCCGTCATTGCTGCTTCATGTTACCCTGGAAAGGGAGCTCCAGAGCCTGGATTTAAACTTCTCGGGCTTCTCTTTCATTGCCTTTCTAAACAGTATCTCATTTTGGTGTGCCAAAATGTATATCACTGCACATCATATATAGTGCTAAGAAGAGAAAATAAGAAAGACTGAACACTCAGAAAGGACCCTGAGCCCTCTTCCATCAGAGATGAGGTTGACACCTGGGTCATAGAATCTCTCAAGGTTTTTTCTGTAACTTACTAGTAGAATTTTCATTTCCTACAGAGATGAGCTCTCTCATGTTGAAGTGACTTCAGCAGACAGGACAGTGGATCCCAAGGACTTTGGCTTGTTCACAGTTTCCATTCTCTATCAGTGAATCATTCCTAGAGATAGTTATTTTGAAAGGCCAAAATACTTGGCTTTTACCAAAGAGACATTTGATTTTGTTTTAGTTGGGGAAGGGCACATCAGAAGTGCATTTACCCAGTTGGCTTCCAGAGAAGTTTAACCACATTCATGTGAGGAAAATGATGGAAGAACTTTTTAAGGTAATCCTTTGGGAGAAAGGTCCTGGGAAGTTCTCTCAGGTAAAGAAAGATTACAGCAGATGAGTAATATATGTCTTGAGAGCTATTTATATAAATTTTAAGAGGATCATTTTTTTTCATTTATTAAAGATTTAAACTTTTTTACTTTGCAAAGAAAAACTACAAACATTTTTACAGTCATAATTGTTAATTTTTTAAAAAGAATTTTTGGAAATAATTAGGTGTAGCCAAATTTTGTGGTTACGTTCTTGCTGTAGTGGTGTTTGAGTGCAATGTGTGTGGTATGCCTACTGTTGGTTTATAAAGGTCTCTGACATGCTTAGATTTTGCTACCTTTAAAAATAGTTATTTTTCCCATTAGCTACAAACCCAATTACGAATTTGTATTTGTTTTTTTGAATGCTAATTTTTCTATGAAGCACCTGAAATAGACTGACCTTTTCTTATGTAGAAAACTCAGACTTGTTAACTCTGTACTTTAATAAAATATAAACTTGAAAACCATGTGTTTGTTTTCTTTCTATTAAATACCTGACTAAAGCCTCCAGTTAGCCTTTGCAGGGTTGGTGCCTTCACATGTCAGTCAAAGATCAAACATCCTGGCAGCCGTGCTGATGGGTTTATAATTGACAAAAATGGCTGATGGTATCCCATCTAAGGTCTTTAACTACAAATAGAATGGCTAAATTTATGGTGAACACACATAGAGTCCACCATTGTCGCAATTTCAAATACACTGTTACATGCAGTCACCTTGTTTTACAGCACTTTTCCTGAGCTTAATTCGTCTTAGCTTAGTTGAAATTCTGAGATCTCTCACATGACCACAAAGTCCTTGGTAACCAGTTATACAGTCTGCTTCTGAGCTGGCCTTGCTTGTTTGTGTTTCAGGTGCTGGAAGTTGAGCACAAGGCCTCATGCATGTTAGGCAAGTACAGTACCCCTGGAGTTACAGCCCAGATACCATTTCTAACCATTTGTCTTTTGAGGCAAATTTCCATGTAGCTTGATGTTACTAAAATTCCTTCTTAGGAGACCATAAACATCTACTCCTTCTCCCAAGGTCCTAGCCCCAAACAGGCATGGTTCTGCAAAAGTTCATTCTAGGGAGCCAATTAGTTCTTTAGGCTTCTTTACAGAGAACATTGGTGAGTGGTTACACCTGGAAAGCCTTTGCCCAGGAAGGATGAGGGCTTCCCTATAGCCAAACAGGATGTCCTCTTCCCCTAGGCTCCCTTTACCTGTGTGTTCTAGCACCCCCCCAAAGGCCATATGTTATTAAGGCAGAGTATCTGGATGCTCAGATAAAGGTCCTGTGACCCTCTTCATTCATTCATAATGGGGAATAAACTATCAACAAGCCCTGCTGGGGTGAGCTTTTGCAAGGGATGCCAGCCTGAGCTGCCCAGGATGATGGTTACCTGGCTTGGAGGACAATCACAACACTTAGGTGGCCTGATTTGTGTGCCTACACCTGCTGTACTTTACTTACTGATGTTCTACAAGTTCATTCAAGTTACTTTATGTTGCAAGAGGCCCTTCACTCTAAAGGCTGAGTAGCATTTTTCCTTGCATGTATGTCCTGTTTTCTTTGTGTATTCTCTTCCCGTCAAAGGAGAGTAGCAAGACCATCTAGCAAAATACAGATGTGAGGCTTTTTCTTGTAGCAGCTATCTTGGGAAATGCATATCATCACACTCTCTGAATGGCTTACTGTGTCATTCAGAATGAGGAGCCAAAGTCTTCACAGGGTCTCTAAACCCTGCATCATCTGTCGCTGTTGGTTCAGTTACCTTGCTCACTCTCGATATGGTCTGTCTGTTCTAGCATTCTTGGTTTCTTGGCTGTTCAAGGTTATCAGATGTGAACTCCTCTTCCCAAAAGAGTCCTCCTTGGGTTGCATATAGTGCTCTCTGTTCCCACACAGGTCCTCCAGTGTTGCCTTTCTAGCGACTCTGCACTCTAGGGTTGTCCACCCTCCAGAACTCCCCTCCGCCGCGCTGCTTTGTCATTTCACATAGACCCCATCACCATCTGTCTTAGTTGTTCTTCTACTGCTGCAGCAAAACACTATGACCAGGACACCTTAGAGAAGACAGTGCTTAATTGGGCTTATGGATTCAGAGGTTAGCATCCGTGATGGTGGAGCGAAGGCCCGTGGCAGGGACAACCGAGCACTCACATCTTAGGCCACAGTCAGGAGGCACAGTGGGAGGGGAGCGAGGCTTCTGAGGCCTCCAAGCCTTCCCAGAGTGCCATACTTCCTAATCTTTCCCAAACCGTTCTACCATTTGGAGTCTATGGAGGTCATTCACACTTAAGCTATCACAGTATCCAACTTACTGTTCCATATTCTTATTTATTCACGTTGTCTCCCTGACACCAGAGCACATGTTCCCCTATGCTTCACTTGTGTTTCTCTGATGTTTCAAATGATATTGGCATGTTCTGGTGCTCAATAAATGGTGAATGGATGGCTGGGTGAAGGAAGGATTTATGAATGGTGATAGTGGAAGACAAGGCTTTGACACCCATGGAGGGCTTTACATGCTACTTGAAGTGGCTGAACTGTTTGTTGGTGAGGTGTAGGTAAGGGATGGATGGATATCCTTAGGCATGTATAACAGCAAGAACTGGAGAGCACAGATACATAAGTATTGAGCATAGATCCTGTTGAGGACTAGGGTACGGCTTAGTGGAACTGCTGTGGTTAGCATACCCATAACCTAAGTTTTGACAAGTGAAGAAAATAGGAATATATATATATATATATATATATATATATATATATATATATATATATATATATATATGGAACGCTTCACGAATTTGCCTGTCATCCTTGCGCAGGGGCCATGCTAATCTTCTCTGTATTGTTCCAATTTTAGTATATGTGCTGCCAAAGCGAGCACAAATATGAATAGTTTATCACTGAATGTTTGTGTCCTTAATAACTAATAGGCCCTTGTAAATCAATTTGAAAATTATAGTAGGAGCTCTAGAGATGGCCTATGGTTAAGAGCACTGCCTACTTTTTCAGAGGACCCAAGTTCAATTTCCAGCACCCCCGTGGTGGCTGACAACTGTCTGTCACTCCACTTCCAGAGTGCCAACAACCCCTTCTGGCCTTTGCAGGCACAAAGTACATACATGGCACACATACATGCAGGCAAAATGCTTAAAACAAATACCTCAAAAGTTTGAAAGCCAGATATGGAAGAATACACTTTTAATACCAGTATTTAGGAGGCAAAGGCAGGTGGATTTCTGAGTTTGAAGCCAGCCTGGTCTACATAGTAAGACCTTGTTTCAGTAAACAAACAAAAAGCAGTAGAAAATCATAATAAACACAAAAATCACATTTTACTAGTATCCAAGGAAATTTTGCTTCACCAGTTAAAAAGTGTCAAGTAATTTCTGAGTGGCAAAGATGATGAAAATGACCCTTTGAATGCTGTGAAAGTAGCGCAAGTTGCCTAGGACATTCAACAGGTGTCTCCAAGCCCATTACAGAAGGGCACACCTTATCACTTGCCAGTTTATTTCCCTTGTGAACTGATGTGAAAATGGTAACTGTCTAGTCCAAAGAACATTCTGCTCTCGTTGAGCATTTGCAGTGCTGCACACCAGCAATCCCAGCGCCATCAGTGAGTCCAGGACTGCCAGGGCTGCATGGAGAGACACTGCATCTGCTCTCTTTCCCACTCACTGATAAAATGCTGCTCTGGGCACAGCTTAAGGGAAGGGTTACCTTGGCTCACAGATCGAGGGTGCAGCCCATCATGGCAGGGAACTAAGGGCATTGGGGGCTTTAAGCAGCTGGTCACGTGCCATCCACAACCAGGAAGAAGGGATAATGAATGCCTGTGCTCAGCTCTCTCTGCCCCTTTTCTACAGTCCAGGATCCCAGACCAGGGAATGGTGTTGCCCACTGTGGGACCATCTCCCCACCTTACTTAATAAAACAAAGATAATCCTGCACAGACCTGCACAGCTGCCCTCCTCCTCCAAGCTGACTCTAAATCTCATCAAGTTAAACATTGATGTTAACCATCATATCCTGACCCCCGCCAAAGAACAGCCTACAGTGTTTACAAAAATAAGATGATAGAATATATGAAAATGATAGGTGCCAAATAAAATGGTGATGTTGAAAACTACTGAATGTGTTCTAGATTTGTTGTATGAAAAATAACTTAGAAAGCACTGTGCTATAATAGAAGCTGCACATGAGCATATATGTACATGCATGTACATGTGCACACCAGGATCCCAGAGGCCATGAAGCTGAGTCAGGAAGATGGAGAGTTCAAGGCCAACCTGAATCACATGGTGAGGCTCTCTCCAAAAACAAAATATTTCAAGTGTTCAGCACTCCACCCTGCCTTCCAGGCTTCATAGTGTAGAATCTGTTTATAAGGCTCTAATAGGAGCAGCCATGCCTTTTACACACATTCCTTTGTCCGCTGCAGCTCTTGAGCCAGAAATGGACTTTCCCTTCAAGCTGGGCAATGGGCCTCTCCATGGAAACTTGAAACTGTGTTGTTAAGGTAGCTGCTGCCTTTGTCAGCAGTTAGAGGGACAGGAACACAGCTCTAATGGCCACTCTGAGCAGCCTGAGGATTTCCTGTAATCTTTAGGTCCTTCAACTCAGGTAAACCCAGAATTCCTGCCTTTGATTTCAAGATTAGCCAGGGTTGGTGTTTATTAAGAATAAAAATGTGCTCATGGAAAGATAAAACAACAGAAGGGGGAGTTTCTGTTTATTGGATGCCATTTAATACTCTTTTTCAGCATGGGATTTATGAGAGAGACACTTGGGGAAGAAATAAGACACACTTGGGTGTAGATATGGAGTTCTCAGTGGATAAGCATGGTAAATGACTTAGCTCTACATAAATATACCATTTTGATGCTATACTTTTGTGTAGAAGTTTCTTCCACATTTAAACATTCCATTTTGGAGAAAGTTCTAGAGGGGACTTTTTTTTTTAATAAAGGACTTACTTATTTATTCATATATTTTGTATTTATGAGTGCTCTGTCTTCATGCTTATCAGAAGAGGGAATCAGATCTCATTACAAAAAGTTCTGAGCCACCATGTGGTTTCTGGGAATTGAACTCAGGATCATCTGGAATAGCAGCCAGAGCTCTTAACCACTGAACCATCTCTCCAGCCCCAGAGAGTCTTCTTAAGATTCAGGAAGTAAACAACTCAAAGGTCTCTGGAAGTCCCTGAAACTGATCAAATTCACAAGCTTACCCTCCACCCCCTCTATCAAGTTATATAGGATTAGGACTGTTGGGGAAAGGATACTCTAACCTGGTGAGCAGCCTCAGAACCCTGCAGAGTGGTCCAGAGTCCATCTTTTGTGAGCTGTCATCCATGCTGGGTGCTGATGGGATAACAACTCCAGTAAGTTTAACCAGGAGCCCTGGGGCTGTGCAAGGGACTTGACGCATGTGCTTTTCCTGCAGGGGCTGTATCTGGTGAGAGTCCTAGA